AAGTAACAATATTTCTTACAATAAGATACAAGTAACAATATTTCTTACAATAAGATACAAGTAACAATATTTCTTACAATATGAAACCAGTAACAATATTTCTTACAATAAGATACAAGTAACAATATTTCTGACAATATGACACCAGTAACAATATTTCTTACAATATAACACCAGTAACAATATTTCTTACAATATGAAACCAGTAACAATATTTCTTACAATAAGATACAAGTAACAATATTTCTGACAATATGAAACCAGTAACAATATTTCTTACAATATGAAACCAGTAACAATATTTCTTACAATATGAAACCAGTAACAATATTTCTTACAATAAGATACAAGTAACAATATTTCTGACAATATGACACCAGTAACAATATTTCTTACAATATGACACCAGTAACAATATTTCTTACAATATGACACCAGTAACAATATTTCTTACAATATGACACCAGTAACAATATTTCTGATAATATGAAACCAGTAACAATATTTTGTTCGTAATATTGAAGTTTATATTAAAACTTATCTCCCATGGAAATTGATATACAGCTCGAGCTTTATAAGAATATGTACTGTTTAACATTACTTACCCATTGATATTTTCAACTTTTTTTTGTCACTAGGTAAAGGGAGTTTGTACTTCTTTACAAGTACCTTTTTAACTTCTCTTGAGTCATATTTATTTCTTGTAGTAAATGTTGCGTGTTTAACAACATGATGTTTTGGTAAAAGTGTCTGTTCATTAACAACATGATGTTTTGGTAAAAGTGTCTGTTCATTAACATAGATTGCTTTTAGTTACATACTAACATCCTTCTTTCCAGTTCTCTATCAGTAGATGATGTAGAACTGTGTTATTACGGTGTAGTTTCTTCATTACCAAGCGCTTCTGGGTCCCCTTTACCCCATCAGCTTACCATGCCAATTGAAGGGTTAATTAGCTATGATGCCTGCTCAGCAGGTGAAGATATTGAAAGTATACCACTGAAGGCTGTACATCAACAGCATGCTGTTACTAACATCAGTTCCAGTTCTGAAAGTATAGTTCCATCTTCTAACTTTTCTAACCAAGAAACAATTAGTTACAAGAAAGGTCCAGTGTTATACACAATGCATGATAGATACAGGTAGTATGTTTGTTACTTGTATCATATTGTAAGAAATATTGTTACTGGTGTCATATTGTCAGTACACAGCGTGGTCACAAGTAAATAGACACCACCTTTTCAGGAAAAAAATT